TAAATTTGATCCATTGAGCGATGGGTAGCCGTACTTCGGTTTTTGATTTGATACTAGACCGTGCTCAGACAACAGACACTGAAGACAAGACGGGTAGCTTTGTTTTCCATCCTCCGCCATATTTCTTCACTAATTTGATCATTAACTATTTATGAAAAATTTTACATATGGATTTCGATTCAGTTTTCGCCAGCGCTACCAGAATATGTTGATTTCACACTGCATTTGTACTAGACCATATCTTATTATTGAAATTTTAAGCATTTTATTCTGCACTGTAATTTCAATTAAGGAAGTTCTAAGGAAGAACAAAGCTGCCTGGTGGCTGGACACAAGCGTTTATTTCAAATCCGGTAATCTCGGCGCTGTTTACCCTAGAAGCACTTGCGAAAACGCGACAACAGCTGCCCGTATTTCCGGAATGACCGATCATCCGTCCGTCACAAAGAAATCGCACCAGATCCAAGAATGCCAGTTGCCCTCTGCTTTGGTGTTCATCAGTACGGGACATAGCAATTACGCCACAACAGAGCCAGGTTATTCTTTAAATAAAATTTTTATGCAAATTGTGTCTCTGAGGCCGTCAGTGAACTTACGGATGTGCCGCTGATTCTCAACTGAACTTAAACGTGAAGCAGATGTGCATTTGTAATTTCATTAAATAGAACGTTTGTGCCGTAAGTCGTTCTTATTTCAGAAATGTATTCATACTTCCCTACGAACATTGAAGTTTTGAGAGAAGTTGAACAGTTTGGGGGAGGATTCTTCTTGATTTACCGAACGGAAGAAGTTATGAAAGGACTTATTTACTGGTAAGATTTTAGTCATTCCGTTCTTGCTGAATGTTGCGATTCTGATGACAGTAGCATACATTAGCTCTGCTTTAATTTTCTATTAATGATAATTTTGCCTTGAAAATTAGCCTCCTTGTATCCACCACAGCAAACATCGGACTGAGTGAAAGTCGCATCAAAATCAATGGACATTTTCTTACCTGACAGCTATTTCGAAACTTGAAATGGTATCACGGAGGCAAACACCTTTCTGCAATGGAAAACACTGTAGGAGCTGTTCTGAATACCAGGATTTAGCATCTTCTTCCAATGAACGAAAAGACCTGTAAATCTTTCCATCATCTTAACAGAGGATGAGGATCCGCTTAAAAGAAGACCAAGATTCGCAAGATGTGTAATTCGCGACGGGAAAATGTTTCAGAAACGTGTCTGGGATGGACATCCGGCGCCTTTTCTTTCTGCTTTCCGCTGCGCAATACAGGTGAACGAAGAAACAGTCGAACAGATGAAGAAATTCAATTACCTCAGGGTCGTGTTTATTGGTGACGGACAACTTGAGGACATGATCGACCGGCAGATTGGAGTAGCCAATCCAGTGGCATCCTCCGTCTACAAGCCCGAACCGTTGTGACTAAAACAAAGCTAAGTCTGAACACTTGGCACTCTGAATTCCGCAAGAACTTCATCCTGATACTCACCTACCTCAATGAGCGGGGCACCATGAACAACTTCGACGCTTTCTGGGAGAAACTTTGAACAGAAACTTGTCGACATTAGCCGAAGCATACATACAAGAGAGAACCTTAATACATGCTTCACATAAGTTAGCACGTGAACATTAGCTCGACTAACAGGTGATCGCCTGTACAATTCCTGTATGTGTCACGATTATTTGTCGACAGTACCATTATTACAGTAACTACACTGATTCCAATTTACATTGGTCAAGAAATATCTCTGCATATGATTGCGAGTAGCAAATGACTGCAGAATATATTACACCTGGATAACGGTTTTTTCAAACACAAGTAGACTTAGAAGAAGGCAATGTGGAAATGCGGCCTCAGCTGGAATAATAAAAGTTCTGCTAGACTGCACACTTTCCATGTGGGCGTCATTTTGTTTTGGGACACAGAACCACGGCGCTCATTTCGCACAGAAGAAGGAGGGAGCTATCGAAGAGCTGTGGGAACGCGTCATAATCTCTCATGATTCAACGCAGTCAGATTGGAGCATTAGCATGTGTGTGTGCAACTGTCACTAATGGTGAACGAAAATCTACCATCCATCCATAGCATCAAGCAAAGAGTCAGGAGCCCTGTCGGCACGTGCGCGACTCAGACTACCAAATCGAACCAACCGAACTTGCGGAAGAATGCACACAGATATTTAGCCATAAGGATTTCCTCATGCATGACATTGGAGCTGGTGACGATTGTCTCTTAATTTTCTTTATTAAGAATAATTTGCCACTGTGGCCAGCGTAAATGCAGACGGAACATTCAAAACAGTTCCTCAAAAGCTTCAACAACTATACATGATCCACGGGATACAGTGTTCGAACGTCATACGGTCGGCACTTGCCGTGTTACCGGAAAAACGGAGGCATATTTGTGAACGTTGGACGCCTTGAAAGATGTGGAACCGCGGCTGGCTCCTCAGTCAGAACTGAATGATTTCCAGCGTGCGTCCCTTAACACAGTCCAAGAAACTTCCAAAATGTCCGGCATCGCGGCTGCTTTTTCACTTTAGCCAATTGCTGAAGCAATCATGCCAACAGTCTCATGCAACGATACTCAACGGATGTTACGTTCCAATACTACTTAAGATTCCAGTACTCACTGTACTGTCCTTCCTTCCAGTGCCGTAGGTATAGGGAGGTTATGTGGTCGTTTTAGAAATGAACGATTACTCAGCCGTAACGCAGATGTTCATATGCAGCAACGTCCAACCACTTTTCCTCGAACACGTTCGAAATATTTGGACATTATCTACAAGGCTCGCCAAGGTCGAATAATGAATAATAAAATCTCTGTATGGCACTGAGTGTCGTCGCAAATTACTGACTCGCACTATCCATGCATTTGGACGTTCATTATTGGCCTCAAATAAACAATCCCTGAACGAAATTAAGGTCCAACAGTATACCACATGCCGACCTCAGTCAACAGCCGCAAAGGAAAAAATATGCTGATTCAATTCAGCCTACTGTCAGGGTTGCTGGTTCCTATTCTGATAGATACTTCAAGAAAAGATGAGAACACTAACGCCAATATCAGTTTCAGAAGATGCCAATACAACAAGGTCGCCTTCAAAAAGCAACCTTCCAGTCTGCACATTTCCTCATCGATAGACTCATCCACTCAGCTCCTCCTCACTATTCTATCCATGTACAACACAAACAGGAGATGGGACAGGAAGCAGCCTTGGCGGAGACCAGGGCGAACGTTGAATGGTTTCGACTTAACACCATTAACTCTGACGCAGCGCCTACTATCAGAATACAGTGATTGGATGCCCTTAGCAGCCTTCCATCAATCCCGTGTGCACGAAGGCATGTCCACAAACTACTGCGTGTTATCCGGTCATAGGCTTTCTCTAGGTCCACAAAACACACGTACACCGGCTGGGCGTACTCCCACGATTTC